ACCAAAATTTTTATTGACAATTCACCCCCTCTTGGCCGATTCCATCAATCGATTAACTCAACAATTAGTATCAGAGTCTAACTCATTTGAAAGTTTAATCGCCTCATGAGTCGATTCGGGAAGAGATATCGATAATCAAAGTCATCAATGGCCTCCGCTTCAAACTTCGACTCCGGTCTCGATTCGATGTCCGTCAACAAGCCTCCTTTCTTCAATGGGGCTAACTATGCCTATTGAAAGAATAGAATGATGTACTTCATTCAAGCAAGTGACATGGGAGCATGAAATGTCATAGAAGAATGATACTTCAAGCCTCTCACTCATCCAAGATTATGGAGTGAATGAGAGACAAAAATGTTCCAACTCAACTCCAAAGCCATCCATATCATATTTTGTGCTCTTGGACCAGATGAATACGTAAGAGTTTCATCTTGTACAACCACCAAAGAAATATGATATAAACTTCAAGTCACTCATGAAGGTACCGATGAGGTAAAGAAATCTAAAATTAGTATTTTAAAGCATAGCTATGAAAATTTAAGGATGAAACCAAATGAAGATATCAAAGCTATGACGGATAGATTCTCAACGATTATCAATTGTCTCAAATCATATGGAGAGATCATTTCAAATGAAAAGCTTGTGAGAAAGTTAGTCTACTCCTTCTCAAAATCGTGGCAATCAAAGAAGACGACAATCATCGAGTCTAAGGATCTAACATCCTTAACTCATGAAGAGCTAATCGGTTCACTCCTCACTCATGAAATGGTGCTTGAAGATGAGGTGGACCTTGATAAGATTGAAGAGACACCAAAGGAGAAGGAGAAGAAGAAAAACATTGGAGTTGTTCTCAAATCCACAAAAAATGAGTGATTCGGATGAAGATGACGATGACGAGGAAATGTCATTGTTTGTCAAACGGTTCAGAAAAATGATGAGACCTTACCGAAGAAGAAAATTCAAACGAAATGAAGGCCTAAAAAATGAACCAAAAGAGAAGGACCCGATCATTTGCTATGAATGCAAAAAGCCGGGGCATGTCAAATATGATTGCCCACAATTGAAGAGAAAGGGTCAATCAAAGAATAAGCACAAGGCTCATGTGGCTACATGGAGTGATGAAGAAGGTTCCGATGAAGAGGAACAAGAAGTAGCAAACTTGTGCTTAATGGCATTCGGGGAAGATTCTAAGGTAACCTCAAACTCATCTGATTTTGATGATTTATCCTATGATGAGCTATTAGAGGAATATAATGGGTTGGCTTCGGATTATGAGAAATTATTTTTAAAATATAAAAATGATGTTTCAAAATTGAAAAATGAAAATAAACTCATATCCAAAACCAATAACGATCTTGAAAGTAAAATCAAAAATTTGCAAATCAAACTAGAAGAGTTTGAAAAGCAAAATTTAGATTTGCAAAATTTACTTTCAAAGGTTAATGATGATCATCAAAAGAAAATTGATGATCTTAAAGCTTCTTTTGATAAAGTTGGAAAAAAAACGTTTTGAAAGTGGAGAAAATTCAAAATCCAACTTTGTTAGAAAAAGTTTTAAAAACTACAATCATAGAGGTCCCCAAAGAACCTCTAATGGAAAAATCGTTAGAAGTATATAGATTCCTAAGGAGCTCATTACTACTAAAGATAAGGATATCTTACACAAATGGATACCTAAGGGGACTAGGATTTTGGAAACTATGAATATGGACCCAAACGAATTTGGGTCCCAAAAATTAGAAATTAATCTATGTTTGTAGGAAAAGGAGCATTGCTACAAGGCACGGAAAACAAATCCAAATTCATGGTACCTTGATAGTGGATGCTCAAGACACATGACCAGAGACAAAAACCGGTTCATTGAGCTTAATGTCAAAAATGGAGGAGAAGTGACTTTTGGTGATTATTCAAAAGGTCACATTGAAGGTATTGGTACTATTGATAATACCTCTTCCATACAAATTAAGAATGTTTTATATGTGAATGGATTAAAGCATAATCTATTGAGTATTAGTCAATTTTGTGATAAAGGATTCAATGTCATATTTGATATTAATGGTTGTAAAGTCATTGACACTGCATCTAATCAGATTATGCTTGTTGGTCATAGAATATGAAACATATACATGGTGCATTTAGATTCTATTGATATGACTAATTTGTGCCTAGTGGCTAAGGATGAACATGATAGTTGGTTATGGCATAAGAGACTAGGACATGCTAGTATAAGTGTTTTGCAACGGCTAATTCAAGGTGATTTAGTTCGAGGGTTGCCTAAGCTTAAATTTGATAATGATAAAATCTGTGATGCTTGTGCTAAAGGAAAACAAAAGTGAGTTTCTTTTAAATCCATTAATGACGTATCAACTAGTAGAGTATTATCATTGATCCATATATATCTTTTTGGGCCAACTAGGACTACTAGCTTGGGTGGAAAACAATATGCATTTGTCTTGGTAGATGACTATTCTAGATATACTTGAGTTCTATTTTTAAGTACTAAAGATGAAGCATTAGAACATTTCATCACATTTTCAAAAATAATTCAAAATGAAAAAGGTTACTCTATAACTAGTGTTAGGAGTGATAATGGCACTGAATTTGAAAATCTTGGATTTACTGAGTTTTGTAATTCTAATGGTATTAGCCATAATTTTTCAGCACCTAAAACACCTCAACAAAATGGAGTTATTGAGAGGAAAAATTGAACTTTAGAAGAAATGGCTAGAACCATGCTGTGAAAATAATTTGCCAAAATATTTTTGGACGGAAGCCACAAATACCGCTTGTTATGTTATAAATCGAGTAATGATTAGGCCAATTTTAAAGAAAACTCCATATGAAATTTTTAAAATTAAAAAGTCTAACATTAGCTATTTTCATCCTTTTGGATGTAAATGTTTTGTTTTAAACAACGGTAAAGAGAACCTTGGCAAATTTGATGCTAAAAGTGATAAAAGAATTTTCTGGGTTATTCCTTAAATTCTAAAACTTATCGAGTATTTAATAAAAGAACTTTAGTTGTAGAAGATTCTATACATGTTGTTTTCGATGATAATCCACTTCGGAGGAAGGATTCTTGTGTGAATGATGATGTAGATGTTATAAATACAAGTGATGTTGGAGAACCATCATCAAAGGAAGAAACGAAAAATGAGGAAACGAAAAATGAGGAAACTCATGATCCTCTTGAGAATCCAACCATTGAAGAAAGGGAAGTATCTTCTTATCCAAGAGAGTACAACTATGTCAAGGATGGTGAAATTATAGGTGATCCATCCAAATGGGTAACAACTCGATCTTCTCTTAGAAATATTTGTAATTATGTTACATTTATCTCATGCATAGAGCCTAAGAATATTAAAGAAGCATTAAATAATGAACATTGGATTATGGCTATGCAAGAACAGTTAAATCAATTTGAGAGAAGTAAAGTATGGACATTAGTTGAAAGGCCTAGTAATAAATCTACTGTAAGTACTAGATGTGTATTTAGGAATAAGCTTGATGAGAGTGGTAATATAGTGAGAAACAAGGCTAGACTTGTTGCTCAAGGGTATACTCAAGAAGAAGGCATAAACTATGATGAAACATACGCTCCCGTAGCTAGAATGGAAGCAATTAGAATGTTATTAGCATTTGCATGTTTTCATGAATTTAAATTATATCAAATGGATGTTAAAAGTGCATTTTTAAATGATTTTATAAAGGAAGAAGTGTATGTGGAACAACCTCCAGGTTTTGAAATTCAAAATTTCTGAATCATGTTCTTAAATTGGCAAAAGCTCTTTATGGTTTAAAACAAGCTCCTAGAGCTTGGTATGAAATATTGTCAAATTTTTTAATTGAAAAAGGTTTTTCAAAAGGGAAGGTTGACAGTACATTGTTTTTAAAGCATAAAGGTAAATATTTATTAGTAGTTTAAATTTATGTTAATGATATAATATTTGGTTCTACTAATGATATTCTTTACCAAACATTTTCCAAGCTAATGCAAAGTGAATTCGAAATGAGCATGATGGGGGATCTCTCATTTTTCTTTTTTGACTCCAAATCAAGCAAAGAAAAGATGACATCTTCATCAATCAAGCTAAGTACGTCAAAGATATGCTCAAGAAGTTTGGACTGGAAAATAGCAAACCTCATGATACTCCAATGAGCTCTTCAACAAAGCTTGACTTAGATGAAGGAGGTAAATGTGTAGATATTAAATTATATAGGTCAATGATTGGATCTCTACTTTATCTAAGTGCAAGTAGACCAGACATTATGTTTATTGTTTACTTATGTGCTAGATTTCAATCATGCCCTAAGGAATCACATTTACTAACTGTTAAGAGAATCTTTAGATACCTTAAGGACACTCCTAGTTTAGGACTTTGATATCCTAGAGACTCTAACTTTAACTTGCATGCTTTCTCTAATACGGATTATGGAGGATGCAAATTAGATAAGAAAAGCACCTCCGGTACTTGCCAATTCCTTTTTGAGTAAAAGAGTAACCAATGAAAACAGTAAGAATGGACCGTAGTGCAAATTTATCCTGTCTTTGAAGATTAGTAGCAAAACATAGACAACCAAAGATCCTAATAAGAGACCAAGAAGAAGGCTTTTTATAAAGAACTTCAAAAGGAGTTAACCACTTCACAACAGAATAAGGTAAACGGTTAATCAAACAAGAAGCTATTTTGATACATTCAGCCCAAAATTCTATGGGGACTTTAGAAGTAAACCTAAGAGCCCTAGCAACCTCAAGAAGATGACTATGTTTCCTTTCGGCTATACCATTCTGCTGAGGAGTAGAAACACAACAACTCTGATGAATTATGCCTAGGGAAGCAAATTAAGATGAACGATATGAAGCAAAAATTCTAACCCATTGTCACTACGAATAATTGATAGTAGACGAAAATTGATTTTGATCAAATTTAACAAACTGAGAATGATATAAACGAACATCAGACTTTAATTTCAACAGGTAAACCCAAGTCATGCGGCTAAAATCATCAACTATCATAAGAAAATAACGTTGTCCCAAGTGAGTGGATATACGGTAAGGCTGCCAAAGATCCATATGGATAAGTTCAAAGGGTGATTCAGCTCTAGAAGTACTAATGGGAAATGGTAGACGAGTTTGTTTAGCAAGAGAAAAAATAGAACAAGAATCAATATGATGACCAGTGGACTTAACAGTGGTTAAGAAAGGAAGCTTGTGCATTTTATTAAGAGAAACATGCCCTAAACAAGCATGACATACATCAAGAGTAATATGAGCAGAAGACATACAATGAGAAGAATTGAAAATAGGAATAGTAAAGGCACATGAATCAGTAACAGAATAAGACAAATTAAGAGTGTAGAGGCCTCCCTAAATTCTACCAATCTTCATCATCCTTCCACTTGAGTGTTCCTAAAGCAAACAAAAATCAGTATGAAAGGAAATAGTACAATCTAAGTCACGGGTTAAGCGAGAAATGGACAACAAATTGTGGGTAAACTCAGGGACATAAAGGACATTTTGAACTACACAGGTAAAGGACAAGGCTACAGAACTAGTATGGGTAACAGAGGCACGTATACCATTGGGTAAATAAACGAATTGAGAATTCAAAGCACATGGAAGAGGATTAATCAAGCTACAGCAGTCAAAGCAGATGTGATCAATAAAACCAGTATCTATAATTCATATAGAACTAGCCTTAGCAGATAAACAAGTTGAAGCAATACCTGACATATTTGCAGTAGAAACTGACTGAGCTGGAACTGATGTTGACTGAAGAAGAGCCAACACCTGCTGGTACTGTGTTGGAGTAAAAGACTGAGCTGAAGTAGTAGGTACGCTATCAACAGAAGTATTTTCATCAGTTACCAAAGCAGCAGAGGACTGTTTACGCTTTGTAAACTTGAAGTCAGATGGAAATCCAATAAGCCAATAACACTGATCTTTCTTGTGACCTCGACCTTACAATAATCGCAAATCCCATTGAACTTAGAAGAAACAGACGAGTTCAAGTACAAAGCCGTAGAGTCTGTGAGAGGAGAAATACCTACTAGATTAATTCGATTGGATTCCTCTTGCAAAATCATGGAATAAGCATGATTCACACAAGGTAACGGCTGTAAAAGCAAGATTTGACTTCTTATACTCGAAAAGGTCTCATTGAGACCCATAAGGAATTGAAATAATCGCAGCTGATGAATATGTCAAATATTCGTTTGAGAATCAGGACATGCACAGGAAGAAAAGTGGACTAACGCATCAAATTCATCCCACAACAACTTCATTTTCGTGAAATAGGAAGAAATCGAAAGGTCACCTTGCACAAACGTCACAATCTCACGGTGAAGAAAGAAAATGCGAGATCCATCGATTTTGTCAAACGTTCCTTGAGATCTTTCCAGACAAGGGCGGCGCTGGAAGCAAAGACAATCCCTTCCGAGAGCTCTTTGCTGACCGAATTGAGGATCCAAGATAAAACGATCGCGTTACAGCGATCCCACTGAGGATGAAGAGCTGGATCGAAGCTATCCCTCTCGCACGAATTGGGGGGGAACCTAGAAATGACGTAGCAGTTAAAACCCGTCAAAGAGAGATGGGTCGAAACACAGGATCAAGCAAAAATGGGGTTAAAAACCTAGCAAACTGATACCCATGTTAAGTAGAGAAAATGTGAAACCTGTACATACATTAATCACCCCAAAGGGTCCTATTTATAAAAGAAGTGTACAACTAACAAAATATAACAAAGGAACTGCCTAACAAATTTAAGGTAACTAACTGTTTACAACTAATACCTCAACAATAATGACAAAAAATAATTAATTTAAAAGTTTAATGAATAAATTAAAAAATTAAAATTACAATAGATGAAATAGAAAAAAATTAATTAATGGTATGGATGCATGTGATTCCAATCGTTGAATATTTCTTTGTCTTGACACATTTCCTCACTGTCTCTTTCTTCAATTCCCCATGTGATATGGGCCCCACACTACAATTTGAAAACGCGTCATTCCACCTTCCCATCTTAACCCTACGTTTGTGCTAATTATTTTGAATCCAACGGCATAACTTGTTTGACAGGTAGCTCAATCACGTGGTATTTCACATTATATTTAGGCTCTAATTGCATCATTCTCTCCTAAAAAAACTGTAAGCATACAAATAAGGTACCAAAAGAACATTTCAGTAAATTATGCAAAATAAAATTGTTATTTATTATTAGTTTTTTTATTATGCGGTAGGAACAATATAATATCTGTTTAAATATTACTCTCAATTATTTAGCATTGAACGCTTATTATCCTAACATTTTTTGTAGTCGAACTCAAGATCTCAAAAAATAACAACAATTTCTTCACAATCGAGATTATTGGGTTTGTGCATTAGTTTATTTTTTTAGTAAAACATTATTCAAATTCTGACTGTCGGAGGTCTTCCACGAAAGCTGCTCTCAACCTGGCGTTGGGGACAGCCTACTACCTTACCTCCCTCTCATCCCATTATATATGAGAATAGGGTCAGTTAAAAATTATTTTATATAAAAATAATTATCAAAATTTTTTAAATAAAGTTTTACATGGTTTATATATAAATTTCGTTTTTTATTCTTTAATAATAATTTTTGTAAACTACATATATGATCACATAACATAACTATGGGTCATGTCGCGAAATGACTACCATTTTTAAAATTGTGAAAAATATACCACTGAACTGTTTAAATGGGTTCAAAATGGCCACACGACGTTAACATTTAGCAGAGGTGTTTACGTGGAAGTTAAAAAATTCGTATAATTAGGGCATGTGTTCTTGTAAAGTTGCGTATTTGCGACGCTGACACCCTGCTTTGTTTTATTCCATTTGGTCACTACTTGTATATGAGTTATTTCATTGGATTTTCATTTAATCCAATTTGATCTTGATTTTGTTTTTAATTTGTTTAATGCTTTAATTTAAGCATTAACTTTAAAATATTTTATTCTAGTCATCTATTAAATTTGTAGATTAAATTCTCTATATTTTAGAATTAATCAATTTGATCACCAAGATTAACTTTAATTCTTAATTTTTAATGAGGTCCTAATTTCAATTTAATATAACAAAATATTATTTAACCGGATACCCGCATACCCAATACCCAGTTTATTATATATAAATATATACATATATATTAATTTTTATTTTTTATTAAATTTTTATTTATAATTCTCAAATTATTTTACTCTAACTGTAATAACCCAAAATTTTGGATAATGACCAAAATGAAATTTTTGAATGTTTGATGGTTAAAGTAGAATAATTGAGAAAAAGTTTAGGGGAATTAAATGGTGATTTTCCCAAAAAGAATTTCATTTCATAAATGGATTTATTTAATGACCAAATTATAAATTTGGTAAAGTTTAGTGATCAAAATATAAACTTTGGAAAGTTTAGGGACCAAAATGTAATTTTGGAAAAATTACAAATGGGTCACGAAAATAAGAAATAAAAATATTATTTTCACATTTTTAAAATGTTGGAAAAATAATATTTAATGGTTTAATTTCATATGTAATTTGAATTGTTTTATTAAAGTGACTAAATTGCAATTTTTGGAAATTACAAGGGCAACACGGTAAAGTGAAAACAAATTTGTTTATCTTTTACTATTAAAAGATGACAAGGCTGATATTTAATTGATTTTGAAGATGATAAGGATATGTATCTTGGTTATATGGTAATTATGAGGTTATATTAAGGGTATATTGGTATTTTCCCAAGTTAATGATTAAATATTATATTAAACGATGATAAGCATGATATGAATCTAAAATATCATGCTAAATGTTCATCTTCTCCAACATCTTCACGTGAGAAAGCTTGAAGGTAAGAAAATATTGTATTTTCAATTTTTGAGCTAATTCCTTTGGAATTGGAGTTATGTCGTGAGATAGGAAAGTGATCTAAGCGAAAAACGCTATCATTTGGTACCAATATTGCTTTCTAATCTTGTTGGATTTAAAAGATCCCAAATCTAAGGGTTTGTGTTCATATAAGGAATCATGAAATTGATGATTAATTTTGATGATTTAGAGGTTGTAGATTCATTTTCAAGCTTGATTGATGATTAGAACATGTTAAATCTTTCTAGAGCTTGTTCTATAAATTTCGGCCATGAATGGTTTGAGTAAGAAAAATTATATATGGGTTGGAAATGATGAAGGAAATATTCTACAAGCATTAGAAAAATATGGGACAATTTTGTAAGTTTTGAAAAGTTGGGGATCAATTAGTAAATTCTAGAAAATTGATGGTTTGTTGTGTAAGTGATATATATAATTAATGTACTATACTGGAAATTATTGTTTGGAAATTTAAATGAGTGTTATATGTGAAAAATGACTATTTTGAAAATTTGAAAAGATTGATGATTTAAGTACAACACTTGTATAGTTGGGGTACTTAAATGTAATTATGCCTTTGTAAAGCATTTGAATGATAGTAATTTCGATGCTGGAATTTTTGATATTAAGAATTTAAGTGACAAAATGGTGAAGGACCATTTTGAGTAAATTGGAAAGGTTGATTCCAATGTTAAAAGGAATTATTAAGTGTTTAATATTTGGTAGAAATGGAGTTGTTATGGGATATGTTTATGTTAGTATAATACTAAAATATGTATCATTGTGAATTTGTGATTTATATACAGATCATGATTGATTTGCGATTGAAGCAAGTCAAGTATAAAAAGGTTTTATTGTGGAACATATTTGAGGCACATATTGTGGATTTTATAAAGTGTCAAGGTGAGTGCAATACATGCATGAAATTATACATAGATGTTTTATACATCATAAGGAAGACTTGCGATAAGTCGACCTTGTTTATATCAGCATGATATTATGTCATATTTTTATAAATTGATATGACATTAATATGTCAAAGTATGAAATTATAATGCATTGATTATAGAAAATGTGAGTATTTATCATGAATATTATTTCGGGTATGAACTGCCCAATGTTAAATGATATTGATATACTTTGCCATGGATGGATCAAATAAAAATAGACTATATGCGCAAGAAAGTCATTGAGGGACAATGTATAGTTGGCATGCCATAGAGTATAGCAGCTGCAGGTTTTATAATACACTTTGGTGTATATGGTGGGCACGACCTTATGTGTAATACACTTCGGTGTATATGGTGGGAACGACCTTATGTGTAATACACTTTGGTGTATATGGTGGGCACGGCCTTATGTGTAATACACTTCGGTGTATATGGTGGACACGACCTTATGTGTAGCACTACGGTGCAAATATTACTCGAATACCCAGGGTCCTCAGGGTTATATATTGGGCTATAGGCTATGGATTATGGTTTATTTCTTAATAAATGGTAAGCATGCAAATAAGCTTACGAGCTTATATAATATTGGCAAGTATATGGGTAAAAATAAGCTTACTAGCTTATGGGACAAATGGTAAGTATTTTGGTAAAATAAGCTTACGAGCTTATGGTTAATAAATGGTAAAATATTGGATATGCAAATAAAATGATTTTATGGCATTTTGAATTTGACATTGAAAATCATGCATGAATTGTATTGCACTATTTATTATTTATTATTTTAAATTGCCTCGCTAGGTATATGCTTAGCATGTGATGATTTTCACGCGTAGGTAAAAAGTCAGTAGTAGAATAAAGAGTTCGGAATGACATCAAGCATTGAGGAGTATATTTCAATATCAGTAAGACATCCTAAGATGTAATGTAGACTTAATTAGTGGCATGTAATTATTAATGTTTTATTTGTTTTGTTGAAAAAATTTGGAAACAAAATGGTAATTTTATGAGTTTTGTATAATGCTGAAATTACTGTAGCAGTTATTGTAGTAGTACTGTAGTGCTTCAATACACAATATTAATTCAAAGTTTTGGTGCATCGATGCACTGTTCATGTTACTGTAGCGCATCGGTACACTGTTCACGGGTTTTGTTCATCACTGTTCATGGTATTGTTCATCACTATTCATAAAAAAATCTTTTGAATTAAATTTGCTATAACAAAATATAAATTATATGTTATGATATTTTTATAATATCAATTACCATTTTAAGAAAATAAATTTTAAATCACTTTTAAATTGGAAAATGGTTTTAGAAATTCGGGTGACATCTATAATATGTATAGGTATAATTATACTGGTTATGGGTGTTACTTTTATTGGCATCAGAGCTACAGGTTTAGCCGATTCTAGGACTAAACCGAGGTTGTTTTGAGTTAAAAAGTGTATACATGCCACTAGGATGTCAAATGTTACTGATAGTTGTATATATACAATGATGATGCTTATTGGGAGTAAAGTTATTATTTACTAATGTATGATGATTCTGACTATGTTCAGATGTTGAAATTAAAGACAAAGGTAAGAAAGTCGAAAATGTTGAAAAGAAGGTCGAGATTGAAATCGACAAAAAGTGACCTACATGATATGTAAAACACCTTAGAATGGTGGATGTTGTAAGGGGTTTTTCTCCATTTTGTGGAAGAAATGCCCAACTTTCATTGAAGTTTCTGAATGGGAAGAATCAATTAAAAAAAGAGTTTGAACGACTTACAAGAAAAGTCGAATTGGATGAGGATTCAGAGTAGATTTCTGAATCTAGTGATGATTTTGA